TGCAACTGTAGCTTGCCTCCACCAGTGTGTGAATGTGAGAGTGAATAGTGGAATTGTAAAGAGCTTTGAGGGTCTCGAAAAGCACTATATAAATGCAATCAATTATTGTTATAATATAGTACTGTGCAAAAGGGTTGAGCCACCCCTCATTTCTTCATATTTTCTCTTCTCTCTTTGAGACAAGCTTTCTTGTAATTTTAAGTCTTTGGCTTTGTGGTGGACAATCAAAGCTCTTCTTTGGATGTTGGCTGCCTTTGGTTCTCTCCTCTGTGAAGATGATCCCACGCTGCTATAATAATGTTGATGTCTGAGTGCAGGAGGGGGCTGATCCATGACTGGTAAGTTTCTTTTCACTAGTACCTATGTGCCTTGACTCTACTCTGTTTCGGTCATTTTCCATTATGATTAACAACCACCTCAATATGTGAGGGGTCGTTATACCGACGCAGTTGAAAGTCCCATGATGACACATCAACGGAGAACATTTAGATGACGGTATACCTGCTGCTCAGTCTGTGGCTGTTTGTCACACAGTTTTCTGCACTGTACTGCTTAAACCTGATCAATTTAAGTCATTCCATCAATGTCATTCGCTGATTCAACACAAAGTAAGAGCTTACCCTCGCTGTGGCATCTCTGCTGCACGTCACGAGCACGTCGATGGTTGGATGCAGATCCAGATCATACACTGCGCTGAGGTGTCCGTGATAGTGCCTAATTACCTAAAATATAAACCAATATAGTCAAGAAACATCCAGAACATTACAAGGAGAGAAAAAGAAGAAAATGAGCCACAACAGAAGCTAGTTAGCTAGTTTCAGTTGCATCTTTATTCACCAGGGCTGTGCCTGTTTTATTGGGAAAAGCTTTTATGCCAGATGCAGCCCCCCAAAAAACATTTGTGTCACCTCCTAAAGGAACTTTCACAGGTGAATGTGTAAATCATTACAGCATAAAGCCGCTAAATAAACTGTTTTGAATGACACAAACCAATAACTCCCTTGTTTGAAAGTATACCTTGTTGTACTCCAGATCCCAACATTTGACCTGCTTGTCCTCCCCGCAAGAGAAAAGGTAAGGACTGCGGCTGCTGACCGCCACCCCACGCACTGTGCTGATGTGTCCAGTCAGAGAGAGTTTCAGTTTTCCACTGGCCAGGTCCCAGATCTGTCAAGACAGGCAGACTTCAAGTCAAATTAAGATAATCTGAGATTAATTTACAAACATAGTTAGTTTAATAGGTAAAAATTGGGATTTTAGTATAACTTAATCATCTGTGAAGAGCAGAGTATTAAAGTTGCAAGCAGGCACTGTGGCATGTTTGAGTCTACAGAAAACACAATCTATAAAACAAACAAAGGTAACGATCCCGAGGAGAGACGACTCGGAGGAGAGCTAATTTAGTCAGTCCATGTCAGATGAGCCATTCTTAGTTTGTCGCTTACTGTTATTTCCTGCTTGACTCACCTTTATAGTCCTATCAGCAGAGCCTGTGACAAACCACTGATTCCCAGGCTCTACAGCGATGGACCTCACCCAGCCAAGGTGGCCGCTGATGACCTACCAGACAAAACAAACTACAGTTAAACAAAACACAGAATCCAGACCTTGCCCACTGTATCGTGTCGAGTAAAGCTTAAACTTAGAAATGTTGAAATGATTTATAGTTACCCGAAACAGTTTCCATGGCGGATGCCACTGAGGTTTGGGCATTGTGGGCGCTCTCCTCATGAGGGCAGAATTTCTGGTCCCACCTCCCTCCAGGAGCGACT